ATACAATGACAGCGCCCAACGGGTTGAGTGTCTCGTTCATGACTTACGGGGGCACCATCACCAGAATCATGATGCCAGATCGTAACGGGCATTTGGACAATGTCGTGATGGGTTTCCCCAGATTTGCGGATTATCAGAACCTCAGCCGACAAGATGGCCTCTTCTTCGGCGCACTGATCGGGCGCTACGCCAACAGGATCGCGCGGGGCACATTCAATCTGGACGGAAAAACATATAAACTGCCGATCAACGATGGACCCAACAGTCTTCACGGCGGGAAAGATGGTTTCGATGACCGGATCTGGAAAGTCTCAGATCTCAAAACCTCAGGGCACACCGTCAGTGCGCGCCTTTCTCTGACCAGCCCGGATGGAGATCAGGGGTACCCGGGTCAGCTTGATGTCGCGGTAACATACAGCCTGAGCGATGATGGCGCTTTTAAAATTGACTATCATGCGATAACGTCAAAGCTGACCGTACTAAATCTGACCAACCACACTTACTTCAATCTTGCAGGTGTCGGCGCGAAGGATGGGATCTTGAACCAGCGGCTGCGTGTCAATGCAGCCACTTACACGCCGGTTTCGGAGACACTGATACCAACCGGAGCGCTGGCGTCCGTTGCAGGTACACCCTTCGACTTCCGTCAGGAAAGCCGATTGGCCAGGATATCAGAAATCCAATGTGCAGCTTATTCGTACCCATGGTTACGATCACAACTGGGTTTTGGACGGCGATTACGGCCCTAACGGCCTGCGTGAAGCCCTCCAGTTTTGGGACCCGAAATCGGGCCGGATGCTGACCTGTCTGACGACGCAGCCCGGCGTACAAATTTATACGTCGAACTTCCTTAACGGATCAGTAGAGGGAAATGGCGGTATCTACCGTCAGACTGACGCCGTGGCGTTTGAAACCCAGCATTTCCCTGATAGCCCCAACCATCCCGCGTTTCCATCAACGCGTCTGGAGCCGGGTCAGACCTTTCACAATGTCACGGTCTTTCGTTTCGGTATCCATTCTTAAGGTTCATAAACTTCAACCCCGCAATCGCCTGGCGACATCTGAGGACTCACTGAAATGCAAGTATCTGACCTGAAGCCCGGGGAAAGCGGCCTCGCCTCATCCGGCTCTATGAAGAAAAGCGCCTATATCCCGGCTCTGAGTGTCTTGACGGCGGTTTTCTTTATGTGGGGCTTCACGACCGTTTTAAACGATGTTCTGGTGCCACATTTCAAGGCGGCGTTTCAGCTGTCCTATACGCAGTCATTACTCGTCCAATTCTGTTTTTTTCTCGGTTATCTGGTGATTTCCCTCCCGGCGGCGCGACTTATAGCCAAAATCGGGTATAAGTCAGCGATCGTGGTTGGTCTGTTTGGTATGGCATTTTCCTGTCTGCTTTTTATTCCCGCGGCGATGATCTTTTCTTACCCGATGTTTTTGCTCGCACTATTTTTTCTTGCTGCGGCGATTACGCTTTTGCAGGTTGCAGCCAACCCTTACGTCGTGGTGATCGGACCGTCCCAAACTGCATCAAGCCGACTGAATCTTGTGCAGGCATTTAATTCCCTCGGCACAACTCTGGCCCCGCTTTTTGGAGGTATCCTGATTTTTGGACGTTAGTATTAGCGGCCAGGATGAAGGTGCGGTGAGGGAAATATTGCGCAACGCGTGCAGGACGTCTCCACGGTCGAACTTCCCTATCTGATTATCGCCGGG